GAGATACTCCATTTCACATCCACTACCTCCCACACCCAGCAGACTTCCTGGCCATCATAGGAATGGATTTAACAAGAGCATCTATATTGAGTACTACCCTGGAGGTCTTTGTTCCCCACCCTGGCTTCATCCCATTGTGCCCATGAGGTTCCACGCCCAACGGTCCCTTTTTGGAGGTGTAGGCAAGAGGCTGTGTGCACTCCAGATCACAGAGACCTCCTCCAGCAGTGGTGCTCCTGTCTGGAGCTGTGAGGCTGTGCCTGCCCTGTGCTGCAGAAGGAGTACCTGTGGGAGGAAATGGTCGCCACCCATATTTTTTTCCTTCTGTACATAGGCTACCCTTTTTAGAAGGATTTTCAGTAACAACAACAAAAACAAAAAACTAATTTTTCCTGCATAGGGTGCTCAATTTAGTATGAAACAACATGAATCTAAATACCTAATTGCTTCCCACCCTGAGTATTCTATTTAATTGGGGATGTTTCTGTGCAGTCAATTAGCTGCTCCAAGAATCTAGTCTACTGAAATCCTCTTGTTTTGGAATGGGCAAAAAATACAGCCTTAAAACCCTGTCAGCCCTCAAGCGCCCGGCTACAAATTATAGCTGAGCAGTGCCAAAGACCTGGAATTATACCTGTCTTGGCTGACAGTATCTCTAAGTGTCTACTTATTTATTGCTCACTCTCTTCCATAAAGAACTTGAAGTGCCTTATAAAAGTACATTCAAGAAAATAAAATAAATAGTTGAGATAATCAGGACAAAGAGGAAATAAGAATAAGAAAATAAAACCGGGGCAAAAGTGCCATAGAGAACTGTACCTGAACAGTGTGGAGGTGACCTGCAAATTTGGCTCTAAGTTTCCATGAGGACAAAGTAAGCAGCCAATTGTGATCAATTATGTAGGTCATTAGATCCTTGAAGTGAAAAACCATTGAGTTGCTCAGCAGAAGAAAGACCCAAAGTGATTTTCTCAGATCAGATCAGCTTATTTCATGAGGCCTCCTAGGGAAGATGGTTTAACATAGTGGTCAGCATATTTGAGAGGAGCTCATGGTGTCCTCTTAATACTGTAGTGCACCAATGACACAGTTGTCACAAGCGGGTGCTTGGATAAGAAGGAGTGTGAAAATCAAAGTTTATGGTCAGTGGCAGGAGCCTGCAATGCATTTACTCTCTGTTCCTAACGAAGACCTGGCCAATAGCTTTGACACACAAGGAGGGTGATTTGAGATTTCCCGTGGGTGCTTCCTTTTGGCAGAGCTGATCTCCAGGCTTCAGAGGCGGGCCTTGGGCCTCACAGCAGAATTGAGGCCCCATTTAGAGCGTAGCCTTAGCACAACCACAAACATAGGAGCCATGAAACATTTTAAAGTAGGCCTACCAGTCATCCACTTTGGCCATTGAAAATTTCCAATAACACAGCTGTAGAATATCTGATTTTAAGCAGTGTAATTTGCTGGTGAGACTTCTGAGAAAAATAATTGGAAATTATATATGTAGGTAACTGGATGTTTTGGTCTTTTAATAGAATTGCTGGATATTAGCCAATCTGAATAATTTGTTTGTTTGTTTTAGTAGACATTATTTTTTAGAGCAGATTTAAGATTACAAAAAAATTGTTAGAAAATACAGTGAGTTCCTATATAATCCCCTACTCTCTACACAGTTTCTTCTATTAACATCTTGCATTCCTATAATACATTCACTCTGTAGTTTACATTAGGGTTCTCTATGTTTTACAATCATATGGGTTTTGACAAATGTATAGTCATGTGTCCACCATTATAGTATCCTCAAACCAAACCAAACCTACTGCCATGAATTAATTCCAACTCATAGCAACCCCATTTGGTTTCCAAAACTGTAAAGCTTTGTAGAAGTAGATTGCTTCATCTTCCTCCTGCAGAGCAGCTGGTGGATTTGAACCACTGACCTTCTGGTTAGCAGTCAAATGCCTCAATCAATATACCACCAGAGCTCCTTCTACAGTATCCTACATATAGTAATTGATCTTAAGCCATTCTTTGTAGCAATAATTGAGTAGCAGGATCAATCTTTGGATGCCAAGTGTTACCCTATCTTCAACGTTGAGGAGATGCATATCTTTGTCCCCTTACACAGCCTTCCCATATGGTTTCTTGCACATTTGGTTGATGATGCTGCCTCTGCTTGCTCTCAGCCTCTTCCATTGAGAAACTCTTCCTCAGCTTGGTGACATATTATGACCTGAGCCCAGACTGCCCTCTCAGCAGTCATCATGTGGCTCCCTTTGCCCAAGCCGTATTATTTCTGGACCGCACCCCATGACCCACATGGGTATGGTTTCCAAGCCTGTTGGGCTATGCAGCCCGCCCCCCTGCACCCCTTCCCCCACAACCAACAGACCTATGAGAGAGCAAGTAACTGGGTAATTCCACTATTTTTCCCTAAATTCCTGATCCTTTCATTTGGGACTCATACTTCTATTTTTTATTTTTTCTGTTTTCTTTTTTTATCACATATGCTGTTATCTTTATTTTATTTTTTCTTTTTATTTTATTTTAATTTACTCTTCTTTTTCTAATTTCTTAAGGGGGTGTCTTAGATCACTTATTTGAGACCTTTTTTCTAATGTAAGTATTTAATGTTGTATGTAAGTTTCTTTTGATTCACTTGATTCAGTGCTTTAGCTACAACTAACATTTTGATTTGTTAAATTGTTTTTATTCATTTCAAAGTATTGTCTAAATGCTTTGTGATTTCTCCTTTGACTGGTGCATTATTTAGAAGTCTGTTGTAATTTTCTAACATTTGTGAGATTTTTCATTTATCTTTTTAATACTTATTTCTGATTTAATGCAGTTTTGGTCACAGAACACTCTTTGTACAATTTCAGTCCCCTTAAATATTTTGAGGTTGGTTTTATGTCCCAGAATATGGTCTGTGATGTTGAGTGACCAACGTACACTTGAAAGTTTATGGATTCTGCCATTGTTGTGTTCCATGTCATATGCATAGTTTCATCTGTTACAAAATCGTTAGCCTGTGATGTTTTAGAATTTTTTTTCAAAGTTCTTCTGAAGAAGATCAGTGCTTCTCAGCCTATCTGTAACTTAGAGTTGAGTTGCTGTGTTTGCATTTATCTTTATGATTGCCGTGGTACCAAGTGATAACCAAGGATGCCACTAGTTAACTTCAAATAAAGCATTTTTCCAACATGGACCTTAGATATGTAGTCTTGTGGTCCTTTGAGTGCTCATACTCAGCTGGAGTAAATGGGGATCTGTGATAATATTTAAGTTTTTGTGTTTTAGAAAGGCATTAAATGTATAAGAATAAAATCATTCACTGTCCCACCCTCCACATACATCTGCCAATGACACCAAAAACAAAAAAAATAAACCCACTGCCATTGAGTTGATTTTGATTCATAGCAACCCTGTGGGACAGAGAACTGCCCCCATAGGGTTTCCAAGGCTGTACATCTTTGCAAAAGCAGGTCTGCTCCTCAACTTTCTCCTGCAGGACAGATGGTAGGTTCAGACTACCAACCTTTCAGTAAGCCACATTATGCTTTAAAAAGAAAATTGGTGGCCCTATCCCAGATGGACTGGATAGGGAAACAGAGGGTATCTACTTGAATGTCTCTTAGAATAGTCCAAGAAGTTACTTCCTTCTGCTGCCCCTCCATTCCTTCACTACTGAGGAGCTTTCCCTCAGTCTGGAATTTCCTTTTACCTTTCTCTGTAGTTTGGATCTGTATTACTTTTCTATTTGTGCTAACACTCATTAATTCATATTTAGTGATTTAAAGCAATGTAAATTTTTTATCTCAGTTTCTCTGCATCAGGAGTCCAGGTACATATTAGATGCATCCACTATTCAGGGTCTCCCAAGGTTGTTCTCCCAAAGTACTGGTGGGGCCACATTCTCCACTGGAGTTCTAGGTTCTCTTCCAAGCTCATTCAAAGTGTCAAGAGAATGCATTTCTTCACAATCGTAGGGCTGAGGTCCTGATTTTTTTCTGGCTGTCGTGGTGTCTCTCAGCTCATAAAACTACTGCACTCAGGTCCTAGCCTCATGGCCCTCTCAGAACATGGCAGCTCACTTCTTCAAAGCCAGCAGAATCTCTCTGCATTCTGCTAAGATGAGATCTTAAATTATATAATTTAGTCAAGGGAGTAATACCCCATCATATTTACAGGGCCTGCCCCCACTCAAGGGGAGAGGATTTTATTTGGCACGTGCAACAGGGGTTGTGAATCCTTGGTGCTGTTTCAGAGTTCACCCTACCAGAGGACCCTACCCATCTTTTAGCGTTCAGTTGAAACTATGTTCCTTTTATAAACCCGTTCCTTAAGCTTTTCCAGCAGTATGAATCAGTCCTTTCCTTTCTTCACACAGCAGTTTATATCTTCTGTCTTGCTTTGTCTGATGTATGTGAAATAAGCCCTTAGAATTCATGGTGTTAACATAATCTGGACAACACACTTTTCCTTTAGGTTGAATAGTGGTAGATCTGCATTTCCCCTCGGCTCAGTTGCTTTCTATGTGTTGCTGAAGTATTTCTTGGTAGAGTGAGTGTTACGGTGTTTAATTAAGTTGAATGCTCTTGAAAGCCTGACACATACTTTCTGAATGTGAAACACCTACTGTGCTATGTTGTGGACATACTTGCCTATCTGTTAAGCTACTTAGGGACAGAAAACTATCTTATCTCCTGCCTCTGTAAAATTAATAGCTCAGAGGCAGTGCCCACAGCTAAAAAGAGCCTGACATTTAATCAGAAATGCAAGACAACATAGAGACTATATGGTTACAGAGTGCTTCGATAAGAGAAGTATGGAATGTGGGGAGGAAGAGGAATGGAAGACTGAACCCATTTTGGATGCCTTTCAGCTTCTTCTTGCCACTAGTATGGACTCAATCAATGTTCCTGATGATTATCAAGAAATAGTAGGTACCTGCCTAGTCTTTGTCCACTTCAAAACAGTTATTTTGTTTTGTTTTCTAATTATAGCGGGTGCTCAAGAGAAGATTGGCTGGGCCTTTGGTCTAGGCTTAGAAAGGCTGGCCATGATCCTCTATGACATTCCTGACATCCGCCTGTTCTGGAGTGAGGATGAGCGGTTCCTGAAGCAGTTCCGTGTGTCTGATATCAACCAGAGTGTGAAATTTCAGGTAAATTACTTGCAAGAGTTAAGTAAATGATAACAAAAATGGTTTTCAATGATTGTGAAGATCCTGTACTTGGAAAGAAAACTATTGAGTTAAAAAAAATAACATGGATTTGAGAAGAGGTCTTTAAATAGGGATCTATAAGACACAGAAGGTTCATAAACCTCCAGATATTGTATGCAGACATTTTTGTGTGCATACATGTGGATTAATCATGGGGGAGGAGAGTCTATAGCTTTCATCAAATTCTCAAAGAGATCAAGAATCTCCGAAGAAGTTAGGGACAACTGGGATGGTGTTATAGCATAAAATTACAGCCTAGTAATTGTTAGACGCTGGTCATTAATAGTTAGCAAGAACCTCACCATTCCAGATAACAATGTTTGTTTTTGATACAGTTGGTAATTTTATTGGGCTTCTGGAAAGATTGCTGTTGTTGTTGTTAGGTACTTTCAAATTGATTTTAACTCATAGCAACCCCATATGACACTGTTGAACTGCCTCATGGTTTTCTAGGCTGTGATCTTTGCAGAAGATTTTTCAGGTTTTTCTCCTGTGGAGCCACTGGATGGGTTCGAACCATCAACCAGTTAGCAGCCAAAAGCTTAAATGTTGTGCCACTGAAACTTCTTCAAAATCAAACCCTTTGTCATCAAGTGAACTCCAACTCATAGCTACCCTAGAGGATAGGATTGAACTGCCACATAGGATTTCCAAGACTAAATTTTCACAGAAGCAGACTGCTTGGTCTTTCTCCCGCAAAGCTGCCAGTAGTTTCATACTGCTGATCTCTGGCTTAACCACTTTACCACCAGGGCTCCTTTCTGCAAATATTGTGTGTGTGTGTGTGTGTGTGTGCTATGTGCTGTCGAGTCGGACCCAACTCATAGCGACCCCTCCTTGGGTTTCTGAGGCAGTATCACTACGGAAGTAGATTGTCCAACCTTCCTTCCGAGGAGTGGCTGGTGGGTTTGAACCACTAGCCTCCTGGTTAGCAGTCAAGTAAGTGCCTTAGGCACTATGCTACCACAGCTCCCTCTGGAAATATTACTCACCCCATATTTTCCCTGTAGATTTCAAATTCTTGGCAATTATATCTTGACATACCCAGTCACAGAAATCTTATTTATTTATTAATAATACATTATTATAGTATAAATATAAATAAATCTTAAGTGTACAGCTTAATGAAATTTTACATAAATATATACCTGTGTATAACACACAGATCAAAATATAGAGAATATTTTTATTACTACTTGAAAGTTCCCCTGGACCACTTTTCAGTCAATACCTGTGACCTTACCAGGTCCCCAAAGCTAACATTGTAATGACTTTAATTGCCATAGATTAGCTTTGCCAATTCTTGAACTTCCTATATATTTAATCACTGTGGACACTTTCTGCTTGACTTCCTTTATTCAACATAATATTTTAGGTATTACTTTATCCTTAAATGTTTCATTAAAACAAGCAAACAAACAAACCCAAGCTCACTGCCTTCGAGTCAGTTCTGACTTATAGTGACCCCCATTGGATTTCCAAGGCTGTAAATCTTCATAAAAGTAGATCATCTCATCTTTCTTCCATGGAGCAGCTGGTAAGTTTGAACCACTGACCTTCAGTTTAGCAGCCTTATCCATTATGCCACCAGAGCTCCTTAAATGTTTCATAGATTTTAAGAGTTTTCTTTGTAGGATTTTATTTATTAATTGATCTTTTTTTTAACAAGCATATGACTACGCATATTTACTCCTTCTTCCTCTGTCAGTTTTGGCATGTTATGTTTTTCAGGGAATTGCCCATTTTCTCTAAATGGTGATATTTATTGATATGAAGTTGTTTATCCTCTGTATGAGTGACTTAGAGCTACCATAACAAATTACCACCAACGATGTGGCTTGAAGCAACAGATATTTATTGCTTCAGTTCTGAAGAGTACAAGTTTATGTGCAGGATTTCAGCAAGATCATACTCTCTCCAAAGACTCTAGGGGTGATCTGTTCCTATCTCTTCCAGCTTCTGGTAGTTCCATTTATTCGTTTCTTCTGACAAGATCAGTACAGTCTCTGCCTCCTTCTTCACATGACCAGCGTCCCTCTGTGTCTGTCTGTGTCTTTTTCCCTCTTTTTATAAGGACACAGTGAGATCAGGACCCAACCTACTCCAGTTAGATCTCATGTGAACTAAATGAATTATACTGACAAATGCTGTTTCCCAGTCAAGTCTCACATACACAGGTACTTGCATGGGATTAGGACTTCAACATATCTTTTGTAATTCAAACTATAACAACTTATTATCATCTTTTTAATATCTCTGAAATGTTATTCCCTCTTTTATACCTGGTATTAGTAATTTATAAGGAACTCTGGTGCTGTAATGGTTAAGGCATTTGGCTGCTAACCAAAAGTTCAGTGGTTCAAACCCACCAGCTATTCTGCAGGAGAAAGATAAGGTGGTCTGCTTCCATAAAGATTTACAGCCTTAGAAACCCAATGGGGATTGCTATGAGTCAGAATCGACTTGATAGCAGCAAGTTTGGTTTTTGGTTTATTAGTGATTTATATTTATTCCTTTTTTTTCCCCTCCTTTATTTTATTCTTAGTTATTTATTTTTTGGTGAAAATATACATAGCAAAACATACACCAATTCAACAATTTCTACATGTATAGTTCTGATATGTGTCATATTCTTCAAGTCATGGAACCATTTTCACTATCCTTTTCCAAATTATCCCACCACTGTTAACATAAACTCACTGCCCCTTATGCTTCTTATCTACCCCTCTTGGTGTTGTCAGTTTGATTCCATATAGATAATTCTTTAAAGACCACAGTGCTCAAGGAAGGCATTCCTACTAATTAAGCTAAACAATGTTTGGCTTAAAGAACACTTCAGAGGATATTTTTGGCTTAAGTTTAAAGATTATCCAAGGGCTAGAGTTTCCAGGGATCATCCAGCCTCAATGGCTCCAGAAAGTCTGAGTTCCATGAGAATTTAAAAAGCTGTTCTGAATTTTGCCCATTTTGACCAGGAATTTTTCTATAGACTCTTTGATCAACTAGGCATCACCTAGTTGTGAAAGACCAAAGAAGAATTGATGCCATTGAATTATGGTTTTGGTGAAGAATAAAGAATATGCTATGGGCTGTCAGGAAAACAAATATGTCTTGGAAGAAGTACAGCCAGAATGCTTCTTAGAAGGAAAGATTGTTAGACTCTGTGGTAGTTCTGTTTGTGTGTCAACTTGCCTGGGCCTGGTTGAGTGCCTGGGCAGCTAGCTGGTGGTAGTTATTCCCCATGATGAGACTGGCAAACAGCTCCACAGTGGGATCTACCACAAGCAGCTGAGTAGCTGCCTTTGGGATGTGGTCTCTTTCTTGTATATAAGGAGAAGCCTTGGGAATGGTCTCTAGCCTATGGCATGCTTGTACCCTGCATGTAGCCATGTCATTGTTCAGCAGCCTGCTATGTGCTACCAGCCTTGGGACTTACAATGGACTTAAGTTAATGGCCTGCCATGTGGTTTGGTAACATCAGGACTGTGCCTTTTTACTTGTCAACCTTGGGGCTTCTCAGCCTCAGCAGCCAGCAACTGAGTGAAGAAAAGCCTCTAGCTTCAGTGGGCTGGGAGCAGGAGGCGGTGCTGAACCCTCAAGGTTGAGGGGCTTTCACTCAGCCCTTAGAGCCTGGCACTTTGAACTTGGACTTAAAGCCTCCAAACTATAAGAGAATAAACTCCTGTTTGTTAAGGCCATCCCATTTGTGGTATATTCTTGTCAGAGTGACACTAAATTACCAGAACAGACTCCATCTTATGTACTTTGGACATATTATCAGGAGGGACCCATCCTGGAGAAGGAAGGTAAAGTAGAGGGTCAGCAAAGAAGAGAAAACCCTCAACGAGATGGATTGACACAGTAGCTGCAACAATAGGCTCAAACATAGCAACAGGTGTGAGGATGACGACCTGTCATTGTTTCATTCTGTTGTGCATAGGGTCACTATGAGTGGGAACTGACTGGATGAAACCTAATAATGGTATTCCATTGTTATATATGTACCATATTTTGTTTATCCATTCATCCATTGATGGATGTTTAGATTGTTGCCACCTTTTGGCTATTGTGACTAGTGCTGCAGTCAACATTGGTGTACATATGTCTATTGGCTTTGCTGCTTTTAAGTCCTTTGGTCATATACCTAGGAGTGGGACTGCTGGGCCATATGTGGTTCAAATCAACCAGCTGCTCCACAGGAAGAAAAACCTAATGATCTGCTCCCTTAAATATTTCAGCCTATGAAGAAATGTTCACAGTAATTAGCCATTAGAGAGATGGAATCAAAACAACAATGACATACCATCTCACCTCAGCACTAATAGCAAAGTTCAACAAAACAGAAAATAACAAGTGCTGGTAAGAATGTGGAAGCTCTGGTGGAGTAGTACCTAAGGCATTTGACTGCTAACCAGAAGGCTGGCAGTTCAAATCTACCAGCCACTCCTCAGAAGGAAGATTGGGCAATCTACTTCCATAGTGATACTGCCTCGGAAACCCAAGGATGGGTCACTATGAGTCGGATCCCACCCAACAGTGAGTGAGAATGTAGAGAGACTGGGACTCTTCTACGCTGCTAGTGGTGAAAAATTATACAATCACTGTGGAAAACAATATGGCAATTCCTTAAAAAGTTGGAAATAGAAATGCCATTTGATCCAGCAATCCCATTAAAAAAAAAAAAAAAAAACTCACTGCTGTCAAGTTAATTCTACTGATAGCAACCCCTCCTAGGGTTGCCAAGGTGGTATCTCTGGAAGCAGATTGCCCAGTCTTCCTGCTGAGGAGTGGCTGGTGGATTTGAACCACCACCCTTCTGGTTAGCAGTCAAATGCCTTGGGCATTGTGCCACCAGAGCTCCTATTTACTAAGTGTATATTCTAAAGAAGTGGTAGCCAGGACATATGTGCATTCATGTTTATCACAGTACTATTCACAAT